ATACATTTGAGTTATCTTATCTATGTACTTTAACTTTGAAATTCAAACCCATCTCCCTCTATCTTTTATGGAACGACCACACTGATCAACAAAAATCTAAATCAAGAATCTATCTTGAAAGCAGATGATACAAATTCATGCATAGGTCTGCTTTCTAATTTTCTCTCATATTCAGGTGTCCTTTGTTTATGGCTGTTTGTTATTACTTGCAATTATGTAATTCGGCGGACTAGCGGCGTTCATGAGACAAGGGCGGGGGGCGGGACAGAGCGGCCGCCGACGGTTTCCTAGTATTGTCTGGTATTGTTGTACAGGGACGGGGCCTGCCCTCAGCCGTGCCTGACCCAGTATTGTTGGGAAGGGGAAGGGGCCTGAAGCGCGACACTCGGACAGACAGGCACTCACTGATTCCCCTAGCGCCAAATAAATTGTTTTCTGGTCTCCGCTTGGTTCTGTGTTCTTATCGAGAGTAAAAGCAAGCTGACACCTTAAAGTTACTTATATATTCTTTATGTTTAGTCAAAAGATTTTTAAGGTATCATCTGCTAAAAATATCCCACATGTGGAGCCTGCCCCGCCCGATACGGCGACATTCATTGTCCGTAGGTTGGCAGTATCCGAGGCCGGCTCCGTGACGTCACGGCAAACAAGCGACTCGGCCGTAACACGGCAGTTGGCTGGGGTTGAGGAGCCCCGACCACTCAACTGGTGGAGTTGCGTAAGAATTGTTTGTTTATATAATTCGTATCTTCTTATCTAAACTCCTTCGAGACGAGTGTGTTCAAATCCTTTCCTCTGGCATGAGTGCCTTTCAACACACATAACGGCTACAATTTCAAACGACCTTTAGCAGGGGTTATGGTCTCTACTCCCTTATCTTCTTTCCTCGTATTTTCAAATCTTTCAAATAGCCTGTCCCAGGTCGTCCCACTTTGAAACCTGTTGTATTTATTTCTTTTCGACAGCGCTTATTGTTGCCTCAATTGGGTTGTGTTATTACTGCAGGTGAAAATCAGCGCTCCCCATTTTCGGTCTTGGATGTTGCCTGCGAAGTATTGGAATTGTTTTGTCAACTGGCCATCTTCAGGGCAAGGTAATGGTGAGAGGTTAGGTTGTGACATTTTTATGGGAATGTGTTGCCCATTACATTATATTGTAATTGATTGATTAATCAGATGTTTACTCCAGACAGATTCCTGATGACCCCGCCCAGCCCTTTCGACTTGTCGACGTTGTGAATCCCATGCGACACCCCCTCTAATTATTGATGCCAGGACAAAGAAGCAAACAGTGGAGCTACTGCTGTTTTCTTGACTTACTGTTCCCAAGTATTCTCACATGATTGAATCAATTTTTCGTCGATGGCAGCAGCGGGAAGCAAATTGAAGAGGTGAGTGCAGTTGACAGTTACAGTCATAATATTTGCGGCTTGATCTTTCTTGTAGTTTCTTTTGTAATTTTATTTTTCGTATTTCAAATGGATTTCAAATGACCGCTATTATCTTGCCCAGCAGAGGTTATGTCGTACTTGGTTGGTTGTGTATATCACACGTTTAAATCTACAATGTTACCTTGGCTGGACGATGTTTCTGTAGAATTTCCAATTTCTATGTAGATTATTTACTTTTATGTCCTCTCTCAACAGGTTTTGGCTGCTATGCGAATTATTTCCAAACCTTCCTCCTGCTCTTGCTGTTGAATGATGTTTGCGAATTGGTTGACAATTTCTTAAAGGGTTAAAAAGGTCAGTACCCGTTGGTCTCTTATTCATCACATTTGGATTACATTATATTTGGTATACTTACAATGTTATTCTATTGACAGGAGGTAATGTCCAGCTTTATGCACAAGTTCCGTAATCCTAGAGCAGTTTGCTCGTAATTTGTTGTTGAATGGTGTTTGCGCCTGGGCTGAGAATTTATTGGAGGGTTAAAAGTGAAAAGGTTACTTGCCATATGTGGATTTTATTATATTATTTTATCATATTTCTTATTGTGAAGGCTAATAATCTGATTCTGTTGACAGGCAGTGACGTCCCACTTGATGAATGAATTACGTAACCTGGAGCTATTTGAAACTCGATTTGCTGACCTGGTCAGGTGAAAGTGGTCTATTGCTTTTCATGAAGTAGGACTTATCGTCATGGTCAATGCAACTCAATGCGACCTATGCCTTTGGCAATCTGAGGTTTGAGAATGAGTTTGAAAAGGCGGGGAAATTAATTTTATCAGTATTTATGGGGCACTTTTAATTTCATTCTTTCTTCTCTCTCTCTATCTATCTATCTATCTATCTATCTATCTATTTATCTATCTATCTATCTATCTATCTATCTATCTTCTGTGTCATGTGTTTGCAACTTGTCAACAATGTTCTTGATGTGTTCACTGTTACAAAGTGTCTGAATTGTTTTTGGGTTCTCTGAAAATGCATTTTGTTTTCTATTTGGTGATGAGTGCTCGTTCTGTTGTGTGTGATTTGCTTGTTCTTATTGCTGTTCTGTTCTTGTTTATGAAAGTGCTCTGATTTTATCTGCCCTGCCTCTGAAAGTGTTTTGTGTTGATTTGGTACTCTCTGCTCTTGCCACTGACTTGCTGTTCTGTGCTTGTTTGTTTATTGCTGGACTTGTCTTGAAGTGCTCTGAATTTCTGCCCTCTCTTTTGAAAGTGTTTTGTGTTTGTCTCTGTTGTTGCCACTGACTTGATATTGCTTATTTTGTTGATGAACATTTTGGTTTTTGTCGAGTAATCCTTGTGCCTTGCCCTTGCTGTTTGAGTGCTCGTATTTATGTTACTGTTCTGATTGCTGTTCTTTTTCTGTCTTTGAAGTGTTGTGCATTTGTTTACTTTGATTGACTATTTTAATGCTGATTCTTTACTGAATGGTTTGAAATTTTCTTGACTCTGTGCTGTGTTCTCAATGCAATGTTTTCTGTCTTCTTTGTTTCGATGAAGTGTTGAAATTATTGTCTTGCAAATGTTGTTTTTGTTGATGTGATGTTTTAATATGATTTCCTGTGTCTTAATCTCTATCTCATATCATTTAAATGGCACTGTAAACCTACTCTGGGTTTCCTCGGGTTTACTGGCTTGTCTGTCTTTCTTTATATAATTCTTTCCGGGGATTTGATTTAAAAGCCTTTTCATTCTCATACTTATCACTCAAAGATGCCATTGCATATTGTACTGGGTGCTGCCAGTATTCATGACTTAGATAAACTTCAGAGGTATGTATTTGCAGTGAAGAAATATCTCTAATTGTAACTACCGTACCCATAACTTTTTTGTTTTTATTTATTCCAGGTGCAGCTATGATTAATTTTCACCACCATGACAATGCAGTCAAGATTTTCTCTTAAGTTATTTTAATGGACCAGTCAGCATAAAAAGAGCCAAGGACTCTCTGTGATACACCCACATGGTAGGTATTGTTTCAGCAAGGTACTAGCACTAATCTTAATGGTTCAGTTAACATTTTGATTTCATTTCCAGGTTTGCAACTTTCTTCTATGTTTTCCAACAAAAATTCTTAGTCGTTTGCTTATCGAGGAATATTCCAAGCTTGTGACATCTGCTCTGCTAATCGCCTGTATATTAATTTCCCCTCTGGTAAGTACATTTGCAGAGCAAGTGCTCCGATATTCTCAACTTTGGCAGTGTCTTTAAAACTGATTGCTGTTTTTCTTTTCCATTGTAGGTTTGAGGTGGATTTCAAAGACTCGTCATGGCATTGATCTTTCATTGATGATTATTTGTACCTAATTACCGTGAACAATTGTAAGTATTATTACATTTATGTGTAGACTTTTGATTTGTTTTTTATTGGAGTGCAAACTAATTCTCATGTCGATCCTTTAGGCTCAATTACCACGGTATGATTGAAATTTGAAAATGGTTCTGCCGCAATTCTTCTCTCGATGAGGAGGGCATTTATTTGATGAGGGAGATGGATTACAACGAAACACCCACACTGCTGGCACGTACTGCTCTATGTTTTATTTTGATCTACATTGTGCATTCTGAGAGTTACGATTGTAAGTTTTACTTTCTCTTTACCTTTTCAGGACTCGAAGTTGTGTTGCATCTCTTTTCCTTTTTTGTTTGAGAGAGAAGTTCCTGCGCTTTGCTGGAATTGATGTCTACCTGTCGACAATGTGCACAGCTTACTCTATTTAATTTCTCTCTGAAAGCCGTTTAAGGAACTCCTTCATCCTCTTTTTCTGTATGACGTAAGTTTCTGTACATATCTCTTGAAAAGGCACCTGGAGATTCTTAAAACTAACGGAACCATTTTGTTGACAGGCAGCCAACCAAGCAAAGTGTCAATTTGGAGGATCTACCCACTCAGTTAAGCTTGTTGTCTCCCTTGGTTGTCAGCGCGGTGTGCCAAAGCTAAGTACCCTTCTATTTTCTTTCTACTCCTTGTCAAGTTTTAGACATTCCTCTACCGCCACCTATAGTAACAACTTTAGCAAAAGAAAAGGATAGTTTGAGTTTGCACACCTGAGGCCAAATGGTGTCAAGCTTCCTTCAATTTTATTTAAATAACTTCTATCTTTATGGGGCTAAAAATTATTTAAACATGCTGTCAGACAAACTGGCACTAATTCTCTTCCCCATAATTGTCAAAAGAAACATGCATATTACCTCAACCACCTCCCTGCCTTAAACTCTGATTTCAAGTAAATTCCCTTACTGCCATTCCTTTTCTGTCTATTGAAATTGAAGTGCCCATTATAATGTCAATGTTTGAGGATGTTCTTTTGACTGTGTTTTTGTCATGTTCTGTTCATTATTTTGCCCTTTCCGCTGTGCTGTTCTGCAACCTTGTTTCTTAAAA